TATTTTCAAAACTTTATCCTGTGCAATGATGAATAACCGAGCGTTCAGCCTCAGACTCATCCTACCCAGTCGTTCTTTCTAAACTCCTAGAGTAAAATCTCGACAATTTCTTGGCAGAAAGGGGCCTTGCTATCCTGATCCAGAAACAAGAAATACCCAGCTTCCTCATAACTTTTTTCTATTTCCGTTCTTTCCGTCATGCTCCGCTGCAACGGGACGCGTCGTTTCCTTTTCATCGATTACGAAGCGAGTGTTACAGGTTTGTTTCCTTTTTGCGGTCGAAAATCCTTCGTGAATATGGCTCCTTCTGTAGGTACCGTAATTAACACACTTGTTCTTGATACCTCATGAATTAGCGATGTTAGAGTCGTCTGTTTAAGATCTATTCGCCTGTGAAAACACAAAGCTTCCTCCTACAAAAACGTACGGTGTAAGCAGCCAGTACGAGGCATAGCTAAACTCTCGAAATAGGTCTGCCGTGTAAGCTTGAACGATAAACATCTAACCCAGATGAATTATTTTGTTGGAACAGACCATGCGTCTTTATTACGGAAAATTTATTAATGCAAGTGGACCTCCATAAATGCATTCAAAGACATTTAAATGTGCTTTTATAAATACAATTAAATTTGTTAAATTCATAAATTAAAAATTGCCGAATTCAATTTTGTTTCAAACATAATACATTTTTGCATATTAAATGTCGGTCTTTTAGCGACTCTTCGATTTTATTCAAGTTCAAAAAATGTTACCAGTGAAAGTATAATTACTTACGTTCTACAATCAAATACAGGTATGTTTATATAATTATTGTTACAAATCTATGTTCGTGAAAGTAAACTAAAAAATTGTATACTAATTCTTAGGAAACATTCTTAATTGTACTTTCCTGGTTAAAAAGCAATCTGTAATAGAACCGAAAACAACGTCTTATGGAGTTTAATAAAGTTTATCTCTGAGTTTGACTTAAAACTTTCAACTGTAAATACAAAGAAAGACTTTAGGCGAATTTCAATTTATTCCATCATCTGTTTTTATTTATTTTAAATACTTAACCCTGATATATTTTACGAATTCTATTCTTTGTCAGAATATGTTATACTAATTTAATAAATTAAACGTTGTAAAATTAGTTTCAATGTATGAAAAGTTTCCTACACTTTTGGATTCCCTAAATAAAGTCTAAATTAATAAATAAAAAAAGCTCGAAGTTAAACAAATGTAATTATTACTTTCACGATATCAGTGAGAACTGCAAAATTGAGAAGTACAAATGAAATGCAGAAAGAAAATTAGTTTCTCTTCCGTAATTTTCCATTCTTTACACAGAAAATATTAACTTGAGAGCATTGGTATAAATACACATAAAATTATCAAATTTTGCATACTTACGTAACAAGAGAAATGAAAATTGCAATGAACAAATACACATGCAAAAGACTTATTAAAAATTACAAGGCTTGTATTACTTTCATAATGCAAATATATTCAGCGTGTCTGCCTCTCTGTATGGGAAACATTTCTAATGCCATTTGTATTTTTTGTGCTACTGGATATAAGCAGTTGTAAAATATTCTGCAAATTCATTCTTGAATATCTGGTAGTTCGAGAATGACTTGCAACCTACTTTAATTTAATGTAATACGGTAGAGCATCGATCATCGGAAATGCCAGTCAGTTCAAATATCGATTATTGGAACGTAGAACGAGTCACGAATGGTTTATAGGAGACTTTTCTTATTTTATGAAATAATTTTTACATGTTGAACGAAGCACGGAAAAATATACTTTCTACTATTCTCAAGTGAGCTTAAAGTATGTTACACAAAGCTTTAACTGAAAATACAATATACATACTGGATTTTTTTGAAAATTGTTATTATGATGCTATTCAGGAATTATTAAATGTACGTAAAGGTAATTCAGAATATAAAATTATAGACAAAGATGACGTTCTTCCATTTATTTTTGTTCGAGAGTGCGGGGTCATGCACTATTTCATTACATTGCGTAACGGAACATTTCAAATATTTGTTTTTGCTATTATCCGATCGTCCCTGTGATAAAAATTCGTTTTTCAAAATCGTCTTGGTTCCAACCATTTTTTAACGTACATGGAGCTGTGGTTTTCCAGGACCAATTATTCGACTAACCGATATCATGAACTGATAATCGGTCTCCCTTTATAATGACTTCTCGACTTTATTTGCTTTCAGTAATATTGCTATTTAGAGTTTGTGTAAACTAATCTCGTATCAAATATCTCGAATTGCATATCTAGCTATTTCTGGAATCAGCTACTATTAAGAATACAAACAACTTCATGACTATTTCCATTGATGTACGGGTCTGATTATGCGTTAGAATTTTTAAATTGAGGATAATATGGATGATATCAATTAAGTCATACAGTATTGCAGTCGACGATATGAGATTCTTGGTGCTCCCAGAATAAGCATTTTGATTATTTTCCTGTATTCTAATCCCTTTTTTAAGCGCTCATAATCCATTTAAGTGGTGTTATTTCTATTTTTGTAGTAGTCTTAAGTGCCTACCTTTGCCAATGACACTTTCTTTGTAATAATTCTGTCTAGAAACTTGGACTTGTTACTTCTTGAATTATACAAAAGGAAAGGGTCATTGCTCGATGGAAACCACGAGAAGGTGGTGGGTCTTATGCATCGAGAAGGGAAAAGAAAGAAAAGGGTATAATGGTATTCTGGCTTTTAAATAGAATTATTACAAAGAAAGTGTTATTGGCAAACAGTGGGCATTTAAAACTGCTATAACGACTATAGTATTACTGCTATAACTGACCATAATATTAGAGTGTACGTGAAATCCAAAAATGAATTTTAATGAGCAAAGATCACATAATAGAGCTAAGATTCTTGGATTTTGAGGGTGTAAAATCATCTGAAATTTAATCCAGAAAGCTTAAATAATACGGTACAAGTCGTATGAATCGAATAAATTCTTACAAATGAGCTGATCAACTTAAACATAGGTACTGATAGGCAACGTGTGGGACGACCAATCGAGATTTCAACTTCAGTTCTGCAATCATTAACGAACTTATTGAAAGTGACAGACGTGTTACAGTAGAACAAGCTGTTGAAAATTGTAATCTAAGCGTTGGCACAATTTGTCATCCTCGAGGATCCATAACATGGAAATAAGTTTCACAGCAACGAAGAAGCGAAAGCTAATGTTCAAAACTGGCTGAGACAATAAGACAAAGAATTCTTTGCTGTTGGCATGAAAAAGTTAGTAAACCAATGGGACAAGTACACAATTGTAGCAGGAGATTATGTCGAAAAATAGGTAAATTGTGAGATTCATTGAATAATCCATATTAAAACAACAGGCGTTTGTTTATTTATTGAATGATTCTTGTAGATATTCCTCACATACCTGAAAGTTTCTATTACATACTTGTCGCTAGAATTCTCATGGATGTTGTGTCGTAAAGTAATGATGGTGGAATTTGGTCTATTACGAGCATCCTGCTCAAAATACATGTTGTCCATCTGCAAATTCCTCGCTTATACATATTTTGAAGCACCATTAAACTTTGTCTACAACATGTGGCTCTTATAAATATTCATTACACTTCGCATAGTCATGAGTAACTTCTTTCTCAGTGTCAAATGACATATGTACACAATGTTGAGGGATAAATATGTTTCAGTACAATGTTTCTAAACTTGAATGAGAAATGAAAATTCTGTTTATTAAAGGTTATTCGTTACGAGCACGTCAATAATCGGTGGCACATTATTCTCTATGTGAAACTATATGTAGAGATTATACGAAGGTCTTGCCTTTTTTAAATGGAATCATTTTATATACTCACTATATTACATTATAAACAATTGAAGAAAAGCCCAAAAATAATAATGGAAGAAATAAGGGGTGAAAATGTTTCCTAACAATTACACTTTAACTCTAAAAATTAAATCTTTATCCCGAATTTTTTCGTTATCTTCGCAGTTTACCCAGTGTGATTATATGCATATGTTCTACGTAAGGTCGTACTTATCGCTGTCTATTAACCCGTAAAACGAACCTTGCAAAAGAATTGCAGTCCTTCAAATTATTTACAGGATGTTACGTACGAAAGATAAAGTATCATTGGCACTCTTTCGGATCAAATAATCTTCGACAAACAGAATTTCCGTGTCTATCACATAACGGTCTTGAAAGTATTAATCATACAATTCAATTGAATTTCTTCACTATCAAGTTGTTGATTTTCCACAGGGTGTTTATTGCAACTTCCGTATGCTTAGTGTTTTAGCTCTGCGCTAATATTCAGAGACAGTAGCAAACAATGACTGAATAAATATAGAATGCAATAAATGTCAATTAATATCGATAAACTTCACAGTAATTTATTAAAAACAGACCAACTAAAGATATTTTTAGTTAGTATTAAATCAATTTCTTATTTTATACTTATTAGTATAAAGGGTGGTACAAACAAGACGCAGATGATTTCACGTGTCAAAGCAAACTGAAACTGTAGAATAAAATTTGTTCCTATGAAGATTCGTTTATACGAATGCTTTCGAATTGTAAGTGGCTAGTGAGTCTATTTATTATTTAATTATGTTAAAGTTTGCATAAAAAAATGGTTGCATCTCTTCGTTATATTATGATTTGCTGGATATCCTAAAATTAGAAGTAGAGAAAAAAGCATAATAAGATAAGAGGATACAACAGGCTGTTATCGTTTTGTCATGCGTCAAATTAAGATGAAATGACCCTGTTTCATATTCATAAAGAAGGTACAGCTGTGAGAATATTACCTAGAATAATTATCAGGAAATGTTTTTACATTTCTTATCTTTCTACTTCTGCTATATTACTGTTTGCTTCACTTAAGCCATACCTATACAAGATAGGACTAAAACAGGAAGACTTGCTGGTATAAAAGTTGTTGCAAGCATACATCAGGGTCAACTGGAAGCTTCCTACGAACAAACGACAAGAACAAGATGTCTCGTTTCCTTATTTTGTTGTTCGCGATTTTCGCTATGATGTCTATCTGTAAGTACCGAAATACCACTAATGCTACTATATTGTGATAGAATTCACAGAGTATACATATTGTCCTAAAAGTTATTTTCTATTTATGACTTATATAACTTTCCAATTGTAGTGGAAATGTTAAATAAACAGTTTAAGATGCTGTAACTTCTGACTGAGGATTTTTCACTTTGTAGCATTTTTTGTGTAAGATTTTATAAGAATACATTTTCGTGCTTTTAACAAATCGTTTAATGAATTAAACAGCATCTGCAGGACGAGTGTGTCCACCGAATTCAACTTGGAAATCCTGCGCAAGTGCCTGCCCATTAACCTGCGAGAATCCTAAACCGAGACCTTGCACTTTGGTTAGTATTATGTAGAAATATATATTTTTGAACATGGAAAAACTTCAATTTGTCAGTGTAAATCGAATTTTGGAAATATTGACACGAAATCAATTATTTATTGATACCTCATCTGACTGTGCGTTTGCAACTTACGTTTCAGCAATGTATGCCGGATTGTGTATGCAGATGCGGCCTTTTGAAAAATAAAGAGGGACGTTGCGTTCCTAAATCGCATTGTTAATTGTTTATTGTAGCTCTTGTTATTGAATACTTTGTTAAATTGTAAAATAACTTATTTGTAATTAATATTTTGAGCTATTCTTATAATGATGAAATAAAGATCTCAATTGCTATTGTATATTGAAATTTTATTTTGAACTTCCGTTCTCGAAAGGTTTATAATCCCTATACTATACAAACAGCTGTTTAATATTATAATTAGAGCTAAGTATATAAAATAATAAATTGGACGTCCATTTTATGTTTTCTGTATAATTTCTGAATCCTTATCTTTGTGAGATATTTCTATCGTGTGGTGCATAAATAACTAACACCGTTTGTTAGGTCAACGACATGAATTCTTTCGTCGGGATTATGAATATTGGTTACTAAAAGTGCTATTATTGTCTAAGTACTCAAAGGAACTGTTTAACTTTGATTGAATAAACTAAAACTTTATTTCTGTTAATACAACTGAGGAGCTTGACTACTTTGATACTTAGGTAGATTAAGATCTTGAATGAACGATCAAACATAAGTTCATGAAAAATAAAAATAGAAGCCACTTCTCCAAGAGCAAAAAATTAAGAGTTTCTAGATTAACTAAAACTACATGTGGAAGGTACAGCACTAAAAATTACGAACAAACGTAAAATTACTTGGATTCATGTCTGAAAATAAATTACTATACGCACCTTACCCGTGACACCCCCCCCCCCCCAAATGCTCATAGACATTAAATGTAAGTAAAGTAATAACATACAATAATAGATATACTGATTAACAGACTCTTCTAATAATGTACCGAGCTCTGATTAGGACAAAAAAAGTCCATTGCTTTGCAATTTATAACTTTTCCACAATCACAAAACCGCATTACGTATTAATGTTTACTTAAAAATAACATAAATTCCGTCAAAAGCACCTTTATAATTTCAGTAATTGTTAAATAAATTCGATATCCGTCATTTTGATGGGTTTAGTTGTTTTGTGTGAAGAAAACAGAGAAAGTTGCAAGTTGCTACATTGCAGCGGAGAGGGACCACTGAAATAACGGGAATACAGAGTTGGGCAGCATTTTATTCGAATAATACACAGTAAGAAGCAGCAGTATCTAAGAGTGTCGTTCTGAGCTTTAACCAGTCAATGAGATTAAATAATTGTTCGATAAATGTCGATTCGTTCATAAAGAAGTATCATTTTATTACAAAAATTGAAATATTCACGTTTAAACAATTAAAAATGACGAAATACTTTTTTTATCTTTTATTAGTTATTTGAAACTTTTTATCTAGATAATGAGTTTGTCCATCACAGAGAACAATGTATGTATGGCGGGGTGCGTTATCGATATGCAAAACCCAAATTGGAACGCGATAACAAAATTCTCATTTACCAATTACATCAATTACAACTACGAAATTGATTTCGACCATTACGGGATTGGAGTGGAAAATCGGGGAACGCTGTCAAAATTGGTTAAGGCCGGATTCACACTAGCGGTCACGGTTCGGTCAGATCATGCCAAATCAGGCAGCAGTTTTTATTAATCATATGTAATCTAATGAGGGAGATATAGTCTAATTTCAGATTCATCGTGATCGCACCGTACCTTTGACCGCTAGTGTGAGTCTGGCTTAATGCTTCCCACCAACCGCATTTTAACCAGCTTGCTGGCTCTTGTGCTATACATATAATTAATTGTATTGCTGTATTAATGTTGACGCTAAAGCCAATATTCTTTTATTCTATTGTTTCATTTCAGTCCTAAGACTGTTTATTACTTACTGATCGTAAACCGGGATTCTCAACGATTAAAAATTGAAAATTGCCTAAGTTGACGGTCTGTATTTTATAAAAAAATTTTAAACCAGTGGAATGATAACTTAAACGCCCCTTATTTACATATGGACTATAACATACTATAATTTGAGTAACAGTGACCGCTTGGCGTAGAATGACCTGTATAGTAGAATTTTGATTATCGAAACGCTCTGTTAATTGAACATTCTTTCATTCGAATGTTCTAGTATCCGAATGATGCATTTCAGATGTCGCTTGTATTCTACGCAAGGTTTTAATTTTGCTGTGTATATATACAAGGGCTGATAAAAAAATTTGGGATAAATTATTTATTATTAAGTACCCTCCGGTCGAAATTTTTGGAAAAACTGATTTTATTTTATTGTGTACTTTTATCGTATAACATCTCAAGAATACTATTTGGAAGTTTCAGTTAAAAATTCGGAGAGGTATAGATTCTGCATACCTGTAAATGACTCTAGGACAACCTAGCCGACCATTGTCATTAATAATCTTCTCGACTTGTCATAAACTGTTTAAACTAGACGCATATTTGGTTACGAGGTAAACAATTATCGGTACACACTTTTTGCATCGATGTGTTTCGATAAATGTATTATCAAGTTAAAAAATCTAAACAGAATTTAATATTGCCTGTTTGTTTCAAGCTCATTTTTCAATTCGTGTACAAAGTGTATTGTCACTTTGGGTGTTATAACTCAGCTTCCAGTGAAAATCTCATAAAACTTTGTAACAATATCAATCAGGGACATATTTCTTGATGACAAAGTTATCGGGAAGACTCTGATACTAAATTTTCTATTTTCAAAAAGTTCTGTTATTTTCGGGGATAGCCTGTGTACCTAACAAAAAGGGTATCGCAACGTGTTTATATTACGCAGTGTAGAACATGTTTCGAAAATGTGATGGTGAAAGTAAAAACTATAATATTCATGCAAGTTTAAATCTTTATTTCGCGTTTACAAAAGTTCCGCCTATGGTTTGCACGGTTTACGACATTTGTCTCTGGGAATGCATTTCCATTGGTCGCTTCTCACGAGATCATCTTTGCAGAAACACCCGGGAACGCATTGCTGGAAAGAAACAAAAAATAGCTAATCTTTCACAGTAATTTGCAGAATTCACTTATAAGTGGAAAATTTAAACGCTTTCATTTTTAAAATTATACATTTTCAATACTAACCTCTGTGCACGGTTTCGGTTCAGGATTTCTCACATCCTCGCAGGTTAATGGACAGGCAGTACCGCAGTCACTCCAAACCTCATTCTTCGGGCAGCCGGCATACGCACCTGATGTTTAATATGATTTATTATTAAAGTTCGTAAAGGTGTGTCTGAATAGAAAGGAAGTTGTATTAAGAATGGAAGTTGTATTATTTGAATGCATTACAAATTCGACCGCTACATCGTCCACATACAGGTGCCACAATTTTTGGTTACCCAATTAAAATCAATCTTAATGTTGAGATACTGAATAAAACAAACTCTATGCAGGCCTATAAAATTCGATGATTTAAAAAAAGTAATTACTCTGACAGATCTTGGTTTACAAGTAGCTTGTTTTATTAAAAGAACTCCACTTTGTGGACTTCTTTCATGGATATTACTTTGGCACTGAACGTATTGACTATGGAGACTGTCTCTAGATGGTCAAAGGAAGTCCTTCAAAATTTTATATTGTTCACTGCATGAAATGGAAGAGCTAACTCTTCTGATAAGTTATAAACTAATTGGTAACTATATACTAATTGGATTATCTTTAGGTATATATGAATAACATTAACAGACTGGGGATTCGTTTCAAAATATGGATTCTTGGGGACCAATTTGTAGAACCTGGAATTCTCTCAGATTCCAACGATAATAGATGTCCTATTATATTCTACCTAGATAACACATGACGCCCAATGACGTCTTCAAGACTGCATAAAGGCGCCTTAGACCTACAATTACCGTAAAATTCGCGCCTTCAAGGCGTCATGTGCTACATATCTGAGTACTGAATTGTACACGTTATTTAATTCTTAATCGTTACTCAACTCCTGGATATGCTACTTTTAATAATGTCTTTTGAGGTACAGAAATGACAACTATTTTATTTGACCGGGTACAACTCTAAGTATTTCCCATACTATTGATGTGCTTTACTTACACACGGAATAAGAGACAAAATGTCTGAATTTCATACCTTATTGTGGGATCCTCTACATTCCTCCTCTTAGTCTACCGTTTAAATTAGAATTGGTAGTATTATAATAGTGACAACGAACGGGTTTTAGAACAATACTTCTATCTATCATGTACTTAGAGGACATGTTACGATACCTTCAGTAATTTTGGTACTTATAAATAACAAGGCAAAGAGAGCGAAGGACAGAAGATAAAGGCGTGACATCTTGATTCTGCAGGTTTGTCGCACGATACTTCCAGTGAATACAACGGCAGCTTGCGGAAAACTGTCTTTATACTTGTCTCTTGTATGTATTTGGTTTAAATGGAGCAAACAGAACCGCGGCTGAAATAGCCAGATAAGCGATATGGAACCATATTTTTAACAATTTCTTTGTCTAATTTTTTCCAGTATCTTGTGTTTATTATAACACAGAACAATTCGCGTTTAATCTAACGGATTATGAAAGAATAAATAGTGTGTTCTATAATTACATTTCATTCTGTTTATGATGTTACACCAGCTATTAATATTAATCTTAAAATAAGTTTCGCTACCTCGTGCCTGACACAAAGCACTGTAATTAACCAGAGTCAAAATACGATGACATCGTCTCACATATGTATCGTTAACCGCCATCCGTCCATTATTTTTCCAACTTAATTTGTCCATTGGTGTCAAATAGACACAGTGTTGAGAAATTAATATAATGACCAAATAAATAGTTAGATTTGCGAGTTCTTTACAATAAATGTCACAGAGATTTATCCTGATCCAATAGATATTTCAGAGCCTACCATGAAAAACATCAATGCTTGGA